GGGGGGCGGAGATGCAGGGGGCGTGAAGCGGGGGGGGGAGGGGCCTCCCCGCTTCTCTGCTGCAGCCGCGCCGAGGAGCCGCAGCACTCAATCAAGGTGGCAGAGGGAGCCCTCCCAAGCTTCCCGAGCCTGGCTCGCCTGCATCTTCTCGCAGCCCGGCATGCTGTCGGATCGCTCCGGTCGGAGCCGGTTTCGCTGCCGAGTCCGTCAGTCGTGGGGACAAGCCGCTGGGCCCAGCCGCACCGGGCTTTGGGACAGAGGACCCGACAGGCAGCACCTGAGCCCGGTAAAGGAGCCGCCGAGGGTGAACCCCCATGCCCCTGATGGGTCTGGGGGGGGGCAGAGCCAAAGGGGGGGGTCGTTGCAGACCAGATGCCGGCATGACTTTACAGCTGCAAAGGTGCTCTGTGCTAATTGAGTCTCCCAAATTATCTGCATTTAAATCCAGTAGCCTGTTAGAGTCTGACAAGATCTTTGGGGTGTAAGCATTCCAGAGTCAAAGCTCTCCATGGTATCATGAAGAGAGCTTTGAATCTTGAAAGCTTATATCCGCCCCCCAAAATCTCGCTGCTGGACTTCGGTCTCGCTGCCCTGCCGCAAACTGGTACAGCTGGCCGCCGAAACTGTCTCCCAGATCAGTTGAGGGTGGCTTCTACGGGCACCAGGCCAGGAAGCCGAAGGCTAGCCTGTTAACCCTGTCCTTTGCTTTTCTCCTTCCTTCTCTCGAAGCTTTCCCACTCGGCGCTTGGATCGTTGCCGCAAAACATGGAGAAGAGCAGCAGCCCCCAGACACGATAAACGCGCCGGTCAGCTGGTGTTCCGGACCATGGACTCACTGAGACACCCTGAGGTGTGAAAATGTCGAGCAGGAACAGGGACCTGGTGACGGACTTTATCTCCTACAAGCTGTCTCAGAGGGGCTACAGCCTGAGCGAAGTGGAGGGGGACAGAGAGGACAGGACTGAGTTGGCGGGAGAGATGGGGAGCATCCCCAACGGGAGCCCGTCGTGGCACCCCGGCGCCAGCCCGGTCGTCAACGGCGCCACCGGGCACCCGAGCCTCCTCGAAGACCAGGAAAACAGTCCTGGGTTGGACGTGAGGCAAACGCTAAGGGAAGCCGGCGACGAGTTTGAACTGCGGTACCGCCGCGCTTTCAGCGACCTCACCTCCCAGCTCCACATCACCCCCGGCACGGCGTACCAGAGCTTCGAGCAGGTGGTGAACGAACTCTTCCGGGACGGGGTGAACTGGGGGCGGATAGTGGCTTTTTTCTCCTTCGGAGGGGCCCTGTGCGTGGAGAGCGTCGACAAGGAGATGCAGATCTTGGTGGGGCGGATCGCAAACTGGATGGCCACGTACCTGACCGACCACCTCGACCCGTGGATCCAAGAGAACGGTGGCTGGGTAAGCACTGGGCAAACGGGTGTGTGTGTGTGTATGTATGGAGAGTGGAAATCAGTGCTATTAGCCACAAGGTATAGATAGGGACTCTGGGGCAAGTGATGCTCTGTCTTCTTGGTGCTTGGGGGGGTCAACAGTGGGAGGGGGCTTCTAGTGTCCTGGCCCCACTGGTGGACCTCCTGATGGCACTGGTATTTCTGGCCACTGTGTGATACAGAGTGTTGGACTGGGTGGGCCTTTGGCCTGATCCAACATTGGCATCTCTTATGTTCTTATGAAGCAGCACCTCCTCATCTTGACTGTGGAATGGGCCAGTTTCAGTGTTCCCACTAAGCTGAGTCAGTGTGAGCCAGCTCACCATTTTTTAGCCTCCAGCTCAGCTCAGGAAGGACGACTCCAGAGCCAGCTAGTTTATGCAGCAGCCAGATCGCTCGCTCACAGCTTTAACGCCAGTCGCTCACAAAGTAGGATTTTTGCTCACAGGACTCCGCAGCTTAGCGGGACCATTGGCCAGTTTGTGTTTGCAGCACCCGATGCCAGTCTGGGGTGTGTGTGTGTGGAGGGGAATGAGAAGCGTCCAATTTACTGCTGGGAGGGGGGTGCTCTCTGTTCCGGCAGCAGAAGAGGAACCAATCTCAGTATAATGACCACCCTGGCTGTTTCTGGGAGGAGCCTCCATCTCTCTTCCTTTGCGGAAGGGGAAAGTATGAATGACTCTGGTCCTAAGACGGAGTGTCTGGTTTCTCTAATAGGTGGTATTGAGTTTCCGGAAGCGATTGAGAGGGGGTGGAGTATTGGCTTTGTCGCCCATGCTATTATACGCTTCCTCACTAGTCTCCCGCTCACTGGTGGAGACGCAGTACTGGTCTAAATGTTCTCAATGTGTCTGAAAAACACATGCAGTCGAGACCACTTTCCCCAGCGGTGCACCCGATAAGTATGAGTTGCCGTCTCGCCTTCATGTGGGTTTGGTTCCAGTCACCCGCAGTCCTGTCTCTGAATCTTCCTGTTCGTTAGGGATCGTCCACAGCGTGAGGCCCTCCAAACTAAGTTAGATGCTGCCCCAGAACTGCCAGTTATACCCTATATCCTGTCCTCATTAATTCTGACCGCCTTTGCCAATGTGAAAACCGCTTTGCATTTCATACCTAATTTATCCTTACCTTGCCCCCCTCCCGTCCCAAAAGGCAGCACCTTGCCTCAAGTGAGCTTTAAATCAAACTTCCTGTTTTCCCTGCATCCAAACGGAACTTTGTGGAGACGGTGGGCCTTCATTTCTCAAGTCAAAAACTTGCATTCTGAACCAGGGTTAAATGGAGTGAAGAGGTTAAGCAAAGGTCTCTTCTGGCTGTGGGCCAGCGTGAAAGGGGTGTGTTGGTGCATTTCCAGAGCAGAGTTCCCCAGAAAAGGGAACCTTTGTGGGTGGTTGCTCAGTGTGGATCTCCCACACGGTGATGCAATGGCGATTGATTATGACGAGAGGCCTGCCTCCCCCAAGGGGTGCAATTTGGTGCACAGGCCCTTCCTGGCTTGAGTATGCTGTGAAAAAGCAATTTCTGTGTGAGCTGTGGATCCAGAAGTGGCTTGGCTTTATACTTTTGCCAGCAACTTCCTGGGGCTTTTTGGTAACTTTTTGGGGTTTTTGCCCAACAGAAAGGTTCTGCCGTCGCTAAAGCTGTTGCACTCTGCAAATGTGGTTTGGGGTTGAAAGAGATGGCCTGCCAGGGGCTACAATGCATTCCTGGCCTAGGGAGCGCTTCTCCGCTTTAGAAACTAAGAGTGTCTGAAGAGCCTTGCTGGGTCAGAGCAGTGGTCCATCCTGTCTCACAGTGGCTGGCCACTTTCTCTGGAGGGGCAGCAACAGGACCTTCCCCTGACGTTGCCTCCTGGCACTGGGATTCAAAGGTTTGGTGCCTCTGAATGTGGAGGTTCCCCTCAATCACCACGACTAGTAGCCTTTGATAGGTGTCTCCTCCATGAATCTGTCTAATCCCCTTTTCAAGCTGTTTGTTCCTGTGGCCAGCACCATGTCCTCTGGGAGCGAATTCCACATTTTAATCTCTCACTGTATAAAGCAGTATTTTCTTTTGTCTGTCCAGGGTCATCTAGTACAACGCCCTGCACAAGGCAGGAAATTCGCAAATACCCTCACACCCGCAGTGACCCCTGCTCCATGTCCAGAAGGCAGCAGAAAACCTCCAGGATCTCCGGCCAAACTGGCCTGGAGAACAATTGCTTCCTGACCCCAAAGTGGCCATCGGGCATTTCCCTGGGCGTGGAAGAAAGGGCCAGGAGAACTAAGCACTGATGCAACCCTTCCTGCCCTCCCTCTCCTGATCCGCCTGAGTTCACAGAATTGGCATTGCTGTCAGATGGCCATCTAGCCTCTGTTTGAAAACCTCCAAAGAGGGCAGGCCAGGGTGGCACAGCTCCGCTTCATGGGACGCCCTCAAGTTCTAGTATTTTGGGAGAGGGAGAAAACTGGCCTTCTGTATACCTGTGATAGGTATTTTCTGGCATTCACTACCCTCCCTAAAAGAAAAAAAGCCATAGGTTTTGACCAGTTCCTGCCAACCTAGCAGTTCGAAAGCAAGAAATTGCAAGTAGATAAACAGGTACCACTTCGGTGGGAAGGTAACAGCGTTCCGTGCCCCTTGGTGTTTAGTCATGCTGGCCACATGACCACGGAAACGTCTTCGGACAGCGCTAGCTCTTCGGCTTTGAAACGGAGATGAGCACCGCAACCCTAGAGTCGGATTCGACTGGCTTTCGAGCAAGGGAACCCCTTACCTTTATCTTTGACAAGTGCTCCCTCTAAGCTGTGGGGTCTTGTGAGCAAAAATTCTGCTTTGTGAGCTACCGGCATTAAGGTTGTGTGAGCGAGCGATTTGGCTGCTGCATCAATTAGTTTGCTCTGGAGCCATCCTTCCTGAGCTGAGACAAGAACATGCGAGCCGGAGGCTAAAAAACTGTGCGATAGCTCACACTAACTCAGCTCAGAGGGAACACTGGTCTTGAGGGCAGCTGTCGTTTTCTCTCGCATTGCGGGGATAGGTAACTTATTATTGTCTGGACTTTCCATATCTCTGCCCCCCCCCCCATGTAATCTCTCCCTCCTCCTGTTTTCTGCTTCCACCATTGAGGGCTTCCCCTTAGAGATCAACATTAAAGGCTCTGGCCGAGCCGTCAGCCGCTCACCCCCTATTGGCCTGCCCCTCGGCTTCCCCACGAAGTCACCAGAAGACATTTGTAACAGGACAGCCCTAGGGATGGTGCCTGCTTCTCTGCCAGGATTTGGTCTCGCTTGCCAGTCCTTTGCCCGATACAAACCAGTGGGTGGCCCCTCTTACGGGCCACTTGCCAACCAGGGGTGGGGGGGAGCACTCCAAGCTGCCTCTGCCTTCTAGCGCAGTCTTGATCCGGTGCTTAGAATTAAATATTGTTCCTGTTACCTCTTGGGGGGGGGGGGATGTTGCCTTCCCACTCCCCCACCCCCGGGTAAATTCAGGAGCTTGCCTCCTCCCACAGCAGCAGGGAGGGGGGCTGAATGAAGTCAGAAGCCCTGCAAGGAAACCCGAAGTTGGATCTCAACTGTGAGAAAGAAGAGGTGGAAGGGGGAGGGGGGGATGACTGAGGAATGCCTGGAATGCAGCCGTCCTGGGGGCACAGCCCCGGGCGTGCCTGCCCAAACAGACCCGACTGGTTCTCTTCCTCTTAGCCCATCTCAGGGACAGGAAGAACTCCATGCCTGGTCCCATCTGTGTCATCCTGGCCTGCCAATTCCTTTTGGGGGGGGCCCTCCTCCTCCCCCCTCTTTTACAGCTCCAGCACTGAATTCTGGGACCAGTGGAGATTTCCACAACGGTCCTCTCTGTCACTCGGGTGACGATTGGGCTGTATCCTGGAGACCAGGCGATAATGTAATCTGATTTTGTAAATGAACTCCCTGGGGGGATTTAGATTAAATCCACTGATGGAAAGTCACCGGCCTTTGCTTGTTGGGAGGGCAGAGATTCCCCCCCTCCCCCACCACCACCCACCAGGCCTCTTTCCTTTTTGTCTGAGCTCAAAGGCATTGTTTGGACAAATGTTTGTTCAGCCATTTGTAGGAGGGGCAGGATTTCCTGGGGGGGGACACCCACCAGGCGCTGCTGTGAAAAATCTCAATTTGCCCTCTGAACGGGGAGCATCTCTCTCTCTTGCTGATCCTACATGGTGGTGCTGGTATGGCCAAGGGGGGTGTAGGAAATGGAGGAGAAGAGACTGCTGTAAATGTTTAAGGAACTTACCGTATCCAGGGGTATGTTTTTGAAGGGCAAGGAGAGCAGTTTCCACCAAACAAGGTAAAGGTTCTCTTGCTCGAAAGCCAGTCAAATCCGACTCTAGGGTTGTGGTGCTCATCTCCGTTTCAAAGCCGAAGAGCCAGCGCTGTCCGAAGACGTTTCCGTGGTCATGTGGCCGGCATGACTAGTCACCAAGGCGCACGGAACACTGTTACCTTCCCACCGAAGTGGTACCTATTTATCTACTGGCAATTTCTTGCTTTCAAACGGCTAGGTTGGCAGGAGCTGGAACTAGAGACGGGAGCTCACTCCGTCATGCGGCACACTCGGGTCTCGAACTGCTGAGCTACCGACCTTCCACAGCCTGCAGTTCAGTGTCTTAACCACTTGAGCCACCGCAGCTCCTCCACCAATAAGAGCACTGCTATTTTTCAGAGAGACTCTGTGGTCCAGCCAAAAGGCTGTGTCTCAATGGCGGAGCCTCTGCTTGGCATGTAGAAGGTCCCAGGCTCAGTCCTCGGAATTGCCGGTTAAAAGGACCAGGCAGCTGGTGATGCCAAAGACCTCCGCCTGAGACCCTGGAGTTGAGTGGTCTGAGTAGACAATACTGACCTTGATGGACTGAGGGTCCCGATTCAGTATCAGGCAGCTTCATGCGTGTGTTCGTGTGGATGTGTGAACTAGTTCCGAAGGATCCATCTCCAAGTTGCATCTCTGATA